CCTACACACTTTAAATATTCATGCTCCACCTGTCTTCAGTCTGAAACTTCTTATCTTTCACCCATCCCCACAGCTGGACCCTCTATGCTCAGAATTTCGTAGTTTCCAGGCAACACTGGCCAAAAGCAACGAATATCTATGTCCGCTTTAAAAGGAGATGACAATGTAGGTGGTGATCACTGCACAAAGCCTTGTTGGTTGTCAGTGGGACCAGTTTGTGTTTACCAGTTCATTGTTTTGAGAATCCACTTGTAAAAAGTCTGGAACAAATATGTAAACGTTAATGTGTTAATTAATTGAAACTGCTTTTAGATGATTTTTTGAAAGTCGCAGCCCTGTTTTTAACAATCTTACCCTTTTAGATGTTCAGAAAGATGAAGAAACATGGAATAAAGAATCAAAATCTGTGGAAGACAAGGTGTTGAGAACTGCAACACAGGCTCTGAATACATGATTGAAGAGGTATGTTGATATGTTAATGCCTTTTGGTTGTAATTCACACTTACTTCGCTGCCCGTTCCTCAGGAGACTATCACTAACTAGTGATGAGGACATCGAGCAATCACCTGCATGGTCAGGGGAACCCAGACCCCGAGCCAGATCATCTGAATCGGCGTACACTCATTCCTGGAGAACTCTCAGATGCTAGATGCAACAGCCTTGATAGGGCCTTAGGACCTTAATCGCAATCCAGTCATACACCAAACACTATGATTCCTAGGTACTGATACCACAACTGACATGGGTGTGAACATATTCAGCGTGTCAGCGCGCTGGTCATGGAACACTGTTGGAGTTGCTGTTGTGTAGAACATGAGGTGCAGAATGTCCTTGACGGTGAAAATGTCAAGATTAGATGATGACCAAATGAGTATGCACATGTATCGTTCTTTATACTGCTATGGAAGCAGGTTCACACTCACACAGCCTGCCTGCACCACAATACATGTATGCTATGCGCACGATGAAACAGAAACTGCGTGCAAATATAATAAGACTGAACAAAGATACTTACTAGGATTGCCATTGCAGATATACCTCAAAGGTGAAATTATGGAGACTGCACTGTGGTCTGTTGAGTGCATGGATGAACATACCAGCTGAATGGATAGGATATCACGTACTAAAAGCAAGTAATACATCAGCAAAACTCTCCATATGGTAGATACATGTCAGCGTTATTTAAACAAATAATCCTCGATAAATGTTGTCCTGTATATCAAGAAGGTTGTGCTTAAAATCGAGTTTCATCAGTCAGGGTCTCAAGCTCACTGATTTGAACAATTAGTGTGTAAGCTAAACATGCTCTACACCTGGTGTGTGAGCTATATAGTCACGTGCCTGAATTTGGACTGGTTGGGTACGCAAAGGGATCACGCATGTACTCAAATTCTTTGAACTGGACCAACCAGGAAGAACTCAAAATCCACAAAATGGAATTATTGGAGCATCCCTGGTCGCCCCATACCAGAGAGCACCATGCGGCTGAGCCGAGAGACCCATACTTCTGAAGCGAGTGAGACCTGCCGACAACCATCAGCTACAGAAGTAAGAACATTGTTTTAGATATCTCTCGGTATTAGCTGCCTTATTATTCTAGATCTTAGTCATATCAAATCTCACGTTCGGTTATTTATTATCATTCATCAAATCAGTCACTAACTATTTAGGTTCGTATTTTGTTTGTTGCTGGTGCACCACTCACACATACCCACACCTGTCCAGTCCGTCTCTCACACAACACTGCTCTCACTTCTCTGTCTCGAAAGCTCTTATTGGTCTTAATATCTTTCTCTAGAAAGTGTTTAGGTGAGTATTTGGGCAGCAGTGTGGCTCATCGATGGTTATTGAACGCTGTCTCACTCGAACGACACAGAGGAAGAGATATAGATCCCGAGAGTACTCATTTCCTTACATGTTTGTCAGTCCTCATCAAATAAGACGAATTGCCTATATTACAACACTCTGAAGGTATCTCTCTATATCGCTGATCATTACGTTGTTTTTAAACTTTTGATTTGACAGAGATCACTGATTACCTATTATGTTTCTCAATAGCATTTAGGGGAGTCCAGACGGAGTGAGCGGAGACCTTGCTCTATCTGAGATCAGTGCTGCAGAGAATCCGGACGATCTGTATTATTTGCTTCAGCGTCTTCATACAGTATTCACATGATTTAATAATGATATTTCCAAGCGTTTTGGTACCAACACTGACCTGAACACACAGTGAG